ACATGCGGACAGATGGACAAGGTTTAATGAACTCAGATAGTCTACCTGTTTAAGAATATATCGATGCTTATGGAGTTTGCCACGCCTTATTCAGCTTACATTTTACATAAATTTTTCATACTTCAAAATGGATTCTCGATGCCCATCGATCCTCTATGTTTATCGTTGCTCGATGACAATTCATGTAGAGCACAAAAACATCGATGATGTAATGCAAATGCAGTCGAGTCTCGTTAATCGAAAATTGCGACAATCGAAATCGAAAATTGCTCTCGATAATTTGAATTTTTGTGTAAATCGAAAAGGAAAATAGATTCTCTTGCCATTGCGAATTATCAGCTGTCGACTGTATATCATCTATATCTATCATTTATATCATGTATATCATTTTATCACATTTTCTAGGGTATACAAAAATACCCGCACTTTCAGCTCTCTCTGTCGGCTGCATATATACCCTGGAGGCACTACCAGTGTATACCCTTTACAAATGCCACGACACAAGTATGCAAAATGAAATACAAATTACAGCAACTAGAGCAACTGTTGTGACAACAACAACAACAACAATAACAACAACAACAACACGAGCACGCACACTCCACACAATAAAGCAACAAAACGCCTCAAAGGCCAACAACAGCCGTGATTGTAGCTGGCTTCTGCCTCACTCGACGCTCTCTTGCCGGGCTTCTCTTTTCTTTTTTTATTTGTTTTTTTTTGGTGCTGTTCTCTTTTGGTTTTTTACGTTGCTCATCCGCCCCGTTGGCCAGGCGACGCGCTAAACAATGCAAAGCGCAAAAAGTGTTGCATACTTTTAGCAGCAACGCAAAAGCGTGTGAAAGATGCACAAAACAACAACAACAACAACACACACACACACACACGAATTTCAATGGAAGGCTGTGAATGTCAAGAGTTTCGTCGTCCTTTTTTTCGGGCATCCAATTTTTTGCAAACTGTTGAAAAATTGTCAAACAATTGCCAACGCCAAAGGACGGGGGCCGGGTCGCTGTTTAACTGTGCAGGGAATTGGGCGTGGCTGGCGCGAAAACATCACGCAATGCACATCGCGAAAACAGTTAAGCGCAATCAGAGACGGGAGCTGCAGAAATCTCATCTGACAGAGCCAAACGTGCCAGCGAAGACGGACAAAATTGATAAAGCGCTAAAGTTTAGACTACGTGATTAAAATCCTATTAAGAGATGAGCAAAGCAAAACTATCTGCGACTATCTCTGACACACACACACACACACACACTCATGCATGCACGTCTATAGACAGCGGCATAAAGTTTTTGATAGCTAAATGCCAAAAGTTTCACAGTTTGTACATAAATTTCTATTGAATTTATTTCAATATTTATTTATTCCCAGCGCAACTTTTAATTGCAATAACTGGATCTATTGGCTTTTCGCATTTGAAGTGCATTCTGAATTTAAAGTCAAAAGTTTAATTAAAATAGAGTTTGTTCTTTTTTTTTTTTAATTGTTTTTCTCTTTTCTTCTTTATTTCAGACATGAAGAAAGTCTTGGGATAATATTTAGTGAGAAGTATATTCAAAATGGATTGGTTTTGCTTGTATTAATCCTTACTTTACTTCAAATTGGACAAATTTAAAAGAAAATCTACAATTAAAGCCGTTATATATCAGTCGAATATAATATAAGCTTTTTACGATTGTAAAATTTCATCAAATAAATAGTTTAATAAAATCTATAATTCAATGCTGCCAAAATATGAAATTATATATTTTTATAATAAAATATTTTTGTGATAATATCTGTATTTTTCCTATACTCTTCTAAAAAAAATTATAGTTCTATTAAATAGTAATATAAGAAAATTATAGACGTATTTTGTAATATTAAAAAATAGTTTTTTTTTTTAATTGTCAAAGTGTTTCTACACTCTTTTTAAAATTAAATAATGATATTACAAAATATTCTGTTTAAAATTAAATAGTGATATTACAAAATAATTTTTTTTTTTAATTTTTTATTTTAATGAGAAAGAGAGAGATGTAGTAAGAAAAAGTAAATAACATTGAGAGAGACAGAGAAAAACGAGTAGAAGGGAGAGGGCTGGTTTATTTAATTTAATTTTTTGCTTTTGATTTACTTTTCTCCGTCTTTGTCTTTACGATTCTCCTTCTCATTCTACTCTCTCTGTAATTATTTTTCTGCCTCTCACTTCTTTTTTCCTTTTTTCCTTTTTTCTCCCCCGCTCTTAGCTCTCTCAATTTCTTTCATCGAGCTTATTTTGTTGAAAAAGAACATTAAAAGGTTATTTCAGGAGTTCCAAAAAATATTTTTCAAATTAAATTAAATAAAATGCCCAATTTTATTAATAGAAAATAATGAAACTTAATGAATCATTTAAACCAATTTAAACCAACAATAATAATAATGTCATAATACAACAAAACACTTTATATGTCCTGCAGAGAAATTGTCTAATCAAAATGAAATAACCCTTGTCATAGCCTCATAAATTTGTCATAAACTGGTTGAGGATGTATAAAAAAAATAATATAAAAAAAGAAAGCCCTCTAAGCACACATGAGTGTGTTTAATCATAAAGAGCTTGCTTTAAATTCAGTGCAATGCACAATGAAAAACTTGCACAACATTGTCAAGTTATAAGCCCAAAGAGAGGGAGAGGGAGAGGGAGAGAGAAGAAAGGAAAGCGCTCGACGACCCAAAGCGCCATCAATCAGAGTGTCAATCACTTTTTGTGTCCAGCCCGAAGCCAACGGCCTAAGCAGATGTGCTTTCATATTTAACAAAACACACACACACACACGCACACATACATGTCTATGTGTGAGAGAGGGCGAAACATTGTTGAACAATGTCAACTGTTGTCCACTTGTTGAGCGCCCACAGCAGAGCTATAGCAGCCCACAAGTCAGGCACAAAGAAAACTTAAGTGGCCACAAAACACGGCACTGAACTGTATGCGTGTGTGTGTGTGTGTGTGTGTGTGCGCGCTTAGACATTTGGGCAGAGACAGACCACAGTTTATGTCAGGCAGCCGCAATTCGAATGCGAATGCGAATGCGATTGCGATTGCGAGTGCGAATGTGATGGAGAATACGCATACGCCGTGTGGTTTGGCCGCTGTGGGTCACTTTAATTATTCTGCGAACGGCTTAGGTCTTAGGGCCAACTTAAACGGCCACTAAAGCCAGCCGACCGAAAAGCACGTCCTCGCCCGCAACCGGCGCCGGCGTGTGCAATGAGCCAAACTGGCGTTTGAGGGCGGCGGCGTCGGCCGTTCCCCCGCTACGTCGCCAGCTCCGGCCTGTCACTCACATAATTCCGCTCAAGTGACACGGAGTGGCTACGGCCGGGCGACACTCAAAAGTTTGTTGGCACTTGGCAGCCGCACGCCAAGTTGACCTTGTGCTAAGCAAAAGCGAACGCAAATAGAGCGTGCTAACAGCCCCGGCTAGCCCCTTTGGGGGTTTACCCCGCCGCACTCTCTCACTCCTTCCCGCCCCCTCTGGGTCTCGCTGTCAGCTGCAAAAATCGAACAAAGTGACGTGGCTGGAATTCATCTCGACTACCAAAAGAGACTTTCCCTCTTTTAGACACTTTAATTTGCCAAAGGACCTGCACGAGCAGCTCTCATTACTGTGCTCGAGCTTAAAACTTCGATTCGCAGCTTGGGCCAAGTCGGACAGGTGCTAAGACACACAATCCACAAAGCTGTTGAAATTCTTTACTTATTTTTATAGATTTTCTATTTATTTATATATATATTATTTTTATAGATTTTCTACTTATATTATATATATAAAAAAGAAGATTTACTGCAATAAAAAAATATTAAAAAAAAAAAAAAATAGATATAAAAAAATTATTTGAAAACAAAAACAAAAGTTTGTGTTTAATGTATAAAAATTATTGTGCAAAATAAAATATAATATATTTATTAAACAAAATAATTTTATAAAATATCTTTTGAATATTACAATAAAGCTACACATTAATTTAAATGCAAAAAAAAAAAAGAAAAATAAATAAATAAATAAATAATTTTAGAAAATATATATATTTTTATAATTATTTATAAAATTATTTTATTTTTCCAAGAATTCTGCTGAAATATTATTAAATTAATTCTATTAAAAACTTATTAACTTAATAATAATATAATAATTAATAATAATAATTAAATAAAATAGAGAAAACTAAAAAGATTGTGCTGCAAATTTGAATATTATTTTGTTATTTTTCTCTAATTAATAAAATTAATGAAAATTAAAAATGCTAATTTATGGTAAATTTTATATTTATTTAGATACTTGTATTTCTTTATATATAAATGAAAAACACTCAATATGCATTTCGATAAATAATCAAAACTTAAAATAAATAGTTTGCATTATACATTTTTAAATAATTTGTAGTTTTACATTTTTAATTATTTATAAATCTACTTATTAATTTATTTATTTATTATTTTATATATATTTATGCAATCTGGAAACCAATAATAACTAATATGATAAATTGTAATATCATTAAAAATAAATATTATTAATAATTCACGAAGATTGCAGCTTAAATGTTCTTATATTTGGTTCACTTTATTGTTTATTTTGTAAATATAAATATTTATATTAAACACATTACAAAAAAGGCAAATAATTTAAGTAAATCTTTTTTTATACTTCTCTGATTCATTTAATTATTTAACTTTAAGCATTTATATTAACTATGCACATTAAACAGGGCAAACAGTTCAAGTAAATATTTGCACAATCTATTATCCATCTATTATTACATTTGGCAGATTCATTTAATTATTTGCTACTAAATGCTTATATTAAGCTCATTGAGCAGGGCAAACAATTTAAGTAAATATTTTCATTATTGATACAGATTGTGGTATCAATAATATTTGCGCATCATTTCAATCGAAATTGCATTCATATTGAGTTTCTCTCTTGAATATGTATCAGTGTATTATCCGTCTGTTTGCACTTACCCAGATGATGGGCTATGTGATCCCGCTCCTCGGATTCGCCGATAATGAAATCGGAATGCTGCTGCTGCTGCTGATGGTGCAACAGATCCAAATGATGCTGATGCATCTCGCTGTCCGCATCGTGGGCGTCCTGTGCGGCGGCCAGAGACCGCGAGAGGGTCAACCAGCTGGCCGAGACGGCGGCAGCGGCAACAATTAGCCATGAGCATATTTCCGGCATTTTATGTTTCCGTTGCTGTTTCATTGCTGCTGCTGCTGCTGTTGCATCCGCTGTCAGCGGAAATATTTTAATTTTAATTTTTATTTGTTTATGCGTTCGCTTTTTTATTTCTTTCTTTCTGCTCTGTTCTCTCACTCGCTCCTTGACTGTTTAATATTTGTCCGATTATTATTTTTTATACTTTTGCTGGAATGCTGTTTGGTTTGCTTTTGTCAATGTTTACGCGCGTTCGCGCTAGTTGCAGTTGCCTTAGTAGTTTCTTCTTTCTACGGAGAAGGGGGCGGGGCGGGGCGGCGTAGCAGCGCCACGCATACTCTTTAGCTGTGTGTGTGTGTGTGTGCGAAAATGTGCTCTTTATCTTTGTTTCAATGGCAATTCATTGCGTCTGTTAAATATTTACGCGCAACAATTTGTTCAGCCCTTGGCTGAGTGGCAAAATGCATTTCCCATTGCAGCGCTGGCTGCACTCGTCTCCCCATGGACCACGACGATATCCTCAACTGTAAATAGCAAAAAGAAAAAAAAAATAAATAAATAAATGCATGTTAAAATTATTATATCAAAATGCACGGCATGTTTTAATAAACATCTTTTTTTAATGCGCGCATTTATTACAACTTTTATTACACATATATATTTCAACGTTTTTTCTTTTTTTCTTTTTTCATCATGGCATTATTAAATATTTCATTATTTATTCATTTGCATAACGCAGCGTTTAACAATTTGCCTCACTCCCACTCGCTGTCTGTCTCGACTCTCCCTTCCTCGCTCCCTCCCTCCCCCTCCTTTTGTTTACCCTTTGTCTGAGTGGTTATAAATTATGTGCTAACAGCATGCATAGCCGGCATTAATAGTTGCCAACTTTGCGGCTTAATTACGGTTGCATGAGCATCACTTATAGATGGAGGAACTATATAAGATGGATAAAGCTTAATCCATTTAAAATTCCCTCAGACATTTACTTTTTAAGCTGCAAACCACAAGAAATATGTTTCAAGCTCAACCCGATAAAATACTTAACATATATATAAGGACTTAGCTACTCCATAAAGTCAAGTATCGATAGTTTGTACCCCGCCAAAACAATTATCGCCATGAATCGAATAAAATCTATCCTCTAACAAATAATTCTTGATAATTTTTTTTTTTTGTCTTTTTTTTTTTTTTGTCTCTTATTATTATTAAATTCATGTTTATTACCAAAATTGATTATTATTTATATTTATATATTTATATTTAATTAATTCTCCTAATGACAAAATCTTAAGTCAGCTTAAGCTATATGATTATTTAGGATAATCTGAATATAGACAACAATATTATAATATAGTTTCCTAACAATCCGTATACTTCTCCGTTGCACTGCTGAATTAAATTATATATTGATTATAAAAAATATTTGTAATGCAAAATTTAAAAACTTTCTATCTCTGTTTTTATTTCGTCTATTATAAGTCCTTGTCCTAAATACTGCAAAGTGTGCAGGCTTTAAGGTATACAAAGGACGCTAAGCACAATAAACACAATAAATATTTGTAAAAAAAAAAAAGTTAAGCATCAGCAAAAAATACACACATTTTGCACACAAAAATGTTTGGCTTTAGTTTAAAGGTGGGAGCAGGACTCTGCTACTGCTACTCTCTCTGTCTCTGTCTCCCTCTCACTCTGGCTCTCAAGTTACAGTTGCATGCTATTGAGTAAACACACACACACACAAAATGTGTGTGCTTGCTTTGGCCTGCATTGGCTCTCTTTGTGAAAGCAAGCAACGAATTCTCGCATCGCTACAGCTTAGCAGGAGTATCAAGTCGAAGTAAAGCCATAGCCAATAGCAGAGTCTGCTGATGATAGAACCAATGAGTACCTTAAACAGTATTTTAAATCTTATATGTTCAGTTTCAAGGGAGAGTAAGTTTTTAAATGTGTAAATGTTAAAGTGGACAAACTCTAGTACATAACTCAACTTCTTCTATAACTTACTAATAAAAGTATTTTTAAATATTAAAATGATTTAATTAGTTACATTATTTTTTCAATAAATAAATAATTATCGAATCAATAAAGTATTTTTAAATATTAAAATTATTTAATTATTAATTTATTTATACACTTAATATTAATATCAAATCAATAAAGCATTTTTTATAAAGAATTAGATTTCTATTAATTATTCCTTGACATTTGTATATTAAATACAAAACATTACACCAAACAGTGTCTATAAATAAAGCGTAATTCCTCTCACACTCTGTTCCCAAAACCAACTGAAAAAAAAAAAAAAACATATCCACTCGCTCTCACTCTCATTTCGTTTTTGCATTCTGTTAGGCGCCTTGAGTTGAATGATTCTTGCAAACGAACATCGTTTACAGAGAGAGAGAGAGAGAGAGAGAGAGTGATACGATTGACGCTCTCACACAAACGCTCTTCACATTCGCACACGCATGCATGCACTCAATTTACGTACGCTATCGTTGTGTTGAGCAAGAGACTCGTTGCTTCATTTCACTCAAGCAAACGGTTTCTGCCAGATCGCAAGCGTGCTCGTTGAAGAGCCGACGCAATTGGTTGCTCATTGAGTGTTTTTTTCAGAGTGTGAGTGAAAGACACTTATATGTATGCAGGTAACGAGGAGAGGTTAACATTATTTGCGAGCTATGCTTTATTGAATAT